AAGGGAAGGGAAGGGAAGGGAAGGGAAGGGAAGGGAAGGGAAGGGAAGGGAAACACCTTGATAATATTGACCATTATTTCACTCAGATAGCAGAAAGATTAGCTATACCTGGGATGATGTGGCTAAAAACAGCTAAATATGCTATTATTTTCATATCTGTTATGTAGTAGGGTTGAGGGTCTCACAGTATGACAGTTCTGCAGTAGAGTGCATGGGTTAAGCATTTCTGTTTCTCCTCTCCCTTCCAAACATACTTCATATCAATCTAGTGTTTTCTGAAACATGCTTACCCATTATTCCAAAATGAAATAAGTAAATCTACAGTATTGGGATGTCATCCCTTGAAACCAAGTGAAGTTGTCAGTAATACTTGTGTTAGAAATTTAGAAAATGATGGTAATTTTGTACTTGGTTCTGTCTCCATACTTCACACTGAAACAATTTTGGTCTTGGAATCCACCAGAAAATAAAATTATTGATTGAGGACAACAAATGAGAAAAGGTGATCCTGGAATTAATGTTAACATGTCTCAGACCTTCTACTAGAGACATTTTCAACCTGACTGGTACACAGAACACATTGAAATTATATTTATTTGATATATCAGGAGAAAGAGAGTACACCATAGTTACAATTCTTATATTGCCACATATTTTATTATCTTTTAAATTAATATATAAAAGATTGGAAAGTAAGCCATTGTTATAATTTTAGAGTCTGCAGATTTTTAAATAAAAATTTAGCAAGTACTCACAGAACCGTCTTCTATTTTTTCTCTAGTCCATCTTTGAACAAAATCTAAATTGCATCCTCACAATTTCTCAACATTAAGGTAAGCAGTGGTCCAATTTTTGACAGCAGTGAAACTGAGATGTGAACATTTTGCTTTCCTCGTGTTGTGGAAATTTTCTACTCACCGTCAAAGAACAAGAGAGATTGCAGATTTGCAACAAAGTTTTTTTTTTTTTAATTAGCAAACGAAGAATACAACAATCACTGCCCCTCCCCAGCCAAAAAGTTGCCAAGATCCCCAAACTCTCTACATAGATTATATAAAGATGGCAGGATATCTAGATATCACACAGATGTCATGAATGATTAATTTATGATGATTAGAAGGAGGAGAGTCTTTCTGTGGTGATTGAGTGATGGCCCCTAACCTGGAGACAATGGGGCCTTGAAGTCACCATGAAATTGCTCTGCCTGCCCATATTAGCATAACAGTAGCAAAAATAATACAAACAATACTGCATCCGATTACTTTTTATTATTGTAAAGGGATGTCCTTTGCACTTTTCTCCCTGGAAATACCAAGTCTGGGGCTTGCTATCTCTTTCCTCTGAGCAGTTGGCCCATGGATAAAGACAGGCACCTCCTGTTCCTAATTCAGCAATTTTACAATAATACCTTGGTTAGACTTAGCTGCAACCTTCAAGGCATCTTATCTAACACAATTACTGTTCAAAAGGGAGTCAGATAAGGCTGCATCTTAGCTCCTACCTTATTTAACCCCTATCCATCCCATGCTTCCATCTTCCCAAGATTGCTGAGGTAAATATTCCACTTCTTTTATTTGCTGACGATGTCCCTATCCTTTCACAAATGTCTGTAGGACTTAGGTGAGTACTCAAAACTTTCATCCATTTTGGCCAAAAGCACTTACTGATAATCAGTGACCAGAAAACCAAAGTGGTTATTCTGCCAAGAAACCCAAAAAGTTTCAATGGAAAGGAAATTAAGCAGGTGAAAAGCTTCAGGTATTGGGCAGAGGGGTGGTGCTCCAGTCTACAGATGCCTGGAAGATGTACATTAATCATGCTGCTTCACAAGCACAAAGGAGCACAGCAGCTATTACTTATTTATTTTTTTTAAGAGTAGGAAATGCAACCAAGCAGCTCTGCAACTTTTTACATTAATACAAACTGCACATTACAAAATGTCCCTACATGAGGCAAACCGGAATCAACCTCTTCTGCAGTCCAAATTATTCAATATCGAGTGTTGACAGTAAATCATATTCCAAGGTCATTTATGGCACAAAAGATATGCCTTTGCAAGGATCCATAAGTATATCTGCCCCCAAGGACAACACCAAATGTTTGACCAAAATCATCTCAGGAGAAAAACTCCATACCTGTTGGATAAATGAGGATAAAACCTCAACTGACTTCACACAAACACAAACACACAAACACAGGGTCTGTTTTAAAATGGTCTGCTGAATAAATCACATTGGTAGGCTCAACCTAAAAGTAAGCTACAAATCATGATTTATAAACCACACATTCTGACTTCCCAGATCAAGATGAACTAAAATGAAGCCATGATATACCTTACCAAGATCTGTGAAACCAACTAATATTTTAATGGAAAAGAACATCAGGAAAAGGACATCATTCTTGCAAAATCTATGAGAGTGTCTGAAACTTATTTGTAGCAAGTTATGGGTTTTTTTATAGATGTCTCAAAGAGTGAATACTATTTTTCCTCTACATTACTGCTCAATAATTTGCATCCTAAAAAAGCTGGAGAATTTTCCCCTATGAGTTGAAATTATTCCAAAACAACTTTTCATAAAAATTTAAAATAATTAAACCTAGGAGAATCATTGCTACATTTCTAGTATACTGATGTAATTTGATTATGAACCTCAAGGGAAATCTTATATTAATACTTTAATCTTGGGATTGCAAATTATACAGAGCTTGCTAATTCTGAGGATTTGTTATTGTTGTTGTTAGCCTTTGAGTCAGTGTTGACTCCTGGTAACTGCCTGGACTAGTCCCTGCAGTTTTCTTGGCAAAGTTTTTCAGAAGTGGTTTGCCATTGTCCGCTTCCTAGGGCTGAGAGAGAGAGTGACTGGCCCAAGGTCACCCAGCTGAATTAAGCATAGACGAGAACTCACAGTCTCCCAGGTTCTAGCCTGATGCCTTAACCACTACACCAAACTGCTTCTCATAATTCTGAGGAACGTCTGACCCATTTACAATATTATTTGTGCAATTAATCATGAGAGTCCATAAGGTCTCAATCATGCACTGATAATAGAATTAACGTATACCCTCTACAGTTAGCAAGCTGAAAATCCTTGTTTAACCCTGGGAAAAGGCAATAACTACAGACCTTTCATCTGCTTCAAAGAGCAGATGGGTTCCCTATAGAGACTAACACGTTCTGTGCTACTGGCAAGTCTTGATTGTCAGTTCTATAATTCTATGTATTACATCTTATTTTCTCTTTGAATTTTCAGTGATTTGGAAACTTTCTAACTTTGCCTTGGAATCTTCATTTAAACTAGGAGTCATCAGTCAGCAGTAGTAAGTTATGATGATTGGGGGGTAGACCTTTTACACTGCAACTTCTAAGATGTATTGTTCCATTATGCCTGAATTTTACATATCCTGAGGTTGATCACTGTGAATCGTTAAATATTAGTCTTCCAAAAGGACAAAAAGCTGAAGAAAGGACAGCTCTTCTTTTGATTTCTTGTACAAAACTTAACTCAACTGGCACATGATTCTTTCTTCACAACTGGGAATACACTAGAACTGTTCAGTGCAATTGGGGTCAATAGGTTACTATGGGGGCATGGACGCCCTGTATGACATTCAGTTTTGTTGCACTAACTGGTACCATAAGAGACTGCTTCATACTGTGTGCTGTTAGGTTGTACAATCCTTTTCTAAGAATACCTTCTTATCTGAGAGGAAATCTCATTGAAGAAGTGAGACCTCCTTCTATTGGACAGACATTGGTTTGCATTGCAAACTCCATCTCTGGAAGATAAATGCACCAAGAATGAGAAATGTTTTGTCAAAGTTCCTTCATTTCTGGTAATTGTATTTATTTATTTAAAACATTTGTATAGCCGCCCATCTTAAAACCAACCTTGGGTGGCTTACAACCAATAAAACAACATAAAACCAGCAATAATAAACTAAAAACAGAAAAACCTGGTGTCACAACACACTTCCCTGATGCAGCCCACATTCTCATCTCACCCTGATCTCACCCTATCCCAGTGCCTGGGGGAAGAGCTAGGCACTGGGTCCTGAGTGCTCTTGAGAAGAATAGAAGGATAGGGGACTGTTGGATCTCAGGCGGGAAGGCGTTCCATAGGGCAGGGACTACAATGGAGAAGGCACACTTCTGAGTACAGACAAGATGGCAATGTTTCAGGGAAGGGACATGGAGTATGCCTACCCTATCCACTCTGGTGGAATGGCCAGACATCCTCAGGGAGAGGTAGTCCTGCAGATAACCTGGTCCTGTGCTATGTAGACCTTTAAAGGTAATAACTAGCACCTCGAATTGCACCCCGAAGAAAACTGGGAGCCAGTGCAGCTCATACAAGAGGGGTGTAATATTGGCAAACCTAGGTTGCTGTATTCTGGACCAGCTGTAAATTCTAAGTGGTCTTCAAGGGCAGCCCCATGTAGCGTGCACTGCAGTAGTCTAAATGAGAAGTGACCAGAGCCTGAGTGACCTTAAGCAAGGCCTCCCAATCC